CCGTATAGCAAAACCCTCCCCCCGCCCCCCCCCCAAAAAAAAAAAAACAAAGAAAAAAAGATCATGGGCTGGCAGGTGGTGTGGTGTTTAAGGTGCACTGGACTCCCACATGGGTGGCCCTGGTTCGAGTTCTGGACCTGATGGCTTGCTTTCTCATTTTCTCTTTCTCTCTCACTCTGTCCCTTCCGGTAACATACAAATAAATAAATAAATACATAAAGTTAAATAAAATAATTCTAAAAAAAAAAGATCCTAACCATCCTATTTCCCAATGTGGCTGTTATCATTCTGTATTCCCACCAAGGAATGAGTGTCTCACTTGTTTGACATCACTGGTACCTTTTTTTAAAATTAAGCTTGCTATAGGTGTGTGTATGTGCAGGAGAGAGAGAGACAGAGACAGAGATAGAGGGAAAGTAAGAAAGCATTCCCCAGGGGAGATAAGCATGCTGTAATCCCTTCTCCATTCTTCTCTTGGGATTCTGGACATGTACCACACACACCCAGCTTGTTTTTCAAGCCACTGGGTCCAGAATTCTAACCACATACTTTGCCATGTGGGATGCTGCTGCCTTCGCCATCAAGCCACTGGCTGGGCCTCATTAGCCCTATTTAGTACAGGCTAATTTAAAGGTTTCCCAGACTATCTTATGATTTTAAAAAGCAGATTCAATGATCTATTAAAACCTATATGTAAATATTTTAAGTACTATATAGATATGTAACTTTCCTAGATAGAATAGTTTTAACCTGATCCAGTGACATTTACTATTTGATGATCTCCTCTTACTTTTATTGTGTTCTTACCGGAGCTGCTCGATTTTCTCTGGAGTAATGGGGTTCTTCCCAAAAACATGGTCTATCTCTTCATATAGCTTTTTTTGAACTTCTTCAGAGGTGGTTAGAAAGCAGATTGCCCAGGTGCACACTGGATGAATGATATATAACACCATTAAGGGAACTTAGAAACATATCACACAAATTAGAATTTTAAATGAAAATCACCTTCAATCCCATCAAGAGAAATCTTTGAAGTCATGATTTCTGTGGCCTATATCCTCTGCCAGTAGAATATAATAGCAGCCTGGGTTAGAGTCAAAGTGAAAAGCAGTAGGAGGAAATGGAAAAGTTCACTGTTCCAGTTAGAAAGGTGTCAACAGCAGGTCATTTTAAAGGTACTAACTACAATTCACAATTCCTAAAATGTGTCAAAAATTTATGGCAAATTTCAGAGGTAGCATCCCCCACTTGGGGTTAAAAAAATAAAAAAGGCACCTATGTGAATCAAGCCTTTTTTTTTTTTTTTTGAGAGTTTTTTTTGCTATAGGGCGCGTACGCTCACCAGACAGACAGAGAAAGACAGAGAGATAGAAAGTGAGAAATCACCCCCCAGGGGGGGATGGCCATGCTGCAATCCCTTCTCCTCCATTCTCCTCTCGGGATCTTGGGCACGCACGCACACATGCCCAGTGTGAGTTTAAGCCACTGGGTCCAGGGCTCGAACCACGGTTGTCTACGTGGGAGTCCAGCGACATAGCCATTACGCTAACTGCTGGTCCCTGTGAATCAAGCCTTTGAAAAAAGTATAGGAAGGGGGACCAGCAGTTAGCGTAATGGCTATGTCGCTGGACTCCCACGTAGACAACCGTGGTTCGAGCCCTGGACCCAGTGGCTTAAACTCACACTGGGCATGTGTGCGTGCGTGCCCAAGATCCCGAGAGGAGAATGGAGGAGATGGGATTGCGGTGTGGCCATCCCCACCATCAGTGATTTCTCGCTTTCTGTCTCTCTGTCTCTCTCTGGAGAGCACACGTGCCCTATAGCAAAAACCTCTCCAAAAAAAAAAAAAATGTATAGGAAGGGATGTTATAAAGAGGTCTTACAAATAGTATTTCTTTTATTTTAGAAAAGCCTCATCTTTGTATATCTTATAGTTTACCTGAAATAACTCAGTTAATACTTACATTTTGCAGTTATTATACAGCCAGCCAGAGAAAATATCATACTGTCTTCAAGTATCTAAGAAACAAAAGTAAGTTTAGAAAGTGTGAAGTGTAAGGTGGCCTATATTAGGCCCTACTAAAATAATCTAGGGTATAAAATTAGAGTTAACAAAAGGAAAACAAATTTTATTATGCTTTCACTAAATTTAACTCTGTAATGTGGAAACAAACCTAAATAGAGCATTGCTTTTTTGAGGAAATAAACATTTATCTTTTGGTCATATTACTGACTCATAACATACTTTGGCTCAGTCCTCTCTTTCTGGCTTGGCCTCATATACCAACAAACTCTTGGGAAGCATGGAGAAGAGCCTGCCATTTGTCTTTGTAGCCTGACTTAATTTCTACACCTGCACACAGAAAACCACTTCTAGTTTAAGGACTTGCAGGTGCTAGAGTAGAGCAGATATTTCCTACAATGAACAAGTGAGTTTTAAGCCACTGGGTCCGGGACGTGAACTGCGGTCGACTACGTGGGAGTCCAGCGACATAGCCATTACGCTAACTGCTGGTTCCCCCTGCCATTTGTCTTTGTAGCCTGACTTAATTTCTACACCTGCACACAGAAAACCACTTCTAGTTTAAGGACTTGCAGGTGCTAGAGTAGAGCACATATTTCCTACAATGAACAAGTGTGGCAATAATAACTCTTTTTTTTTTTTTTTTTGAGAGGTTTTCGCTATAGGGCATGTGTGCTCGCCAGAGAGACAGAAAGTGAGAAATCACCCCCCCCAAGGGGGATGGCCACGCCGCAATCCCTTCTCCTCCATTCTCCTCTCAGGATCTTGGGCACGCATGCACACGCACCCAGCATGAGTTTAAGCTGCCGGGTCTGGGACTCGAACCGCAGTCGACTACATGGGAGTCCAGCAACATAGCCATTACACTAACTGCTGGGCCCAATAATGACTCATTCTTGTCCTTTGCCTGACAAAACCACAAAAGCAGTGGTGCACTGATGGTAACAGACCTGTGCCATGAACAAGCTACATTGCCACACCTGCAGAGTGGCTTAGTCTGTAAAGGCTTACACAAATCTTTCTACGCGTTTATGATCAGAGACTTCTGGCTCAATATTTGCTTATCCATGTATTAAATAATATACAGCTGCTTCAAAGAGCTAACTAACAGGAGACTAAGTTCTTGTTCTACCTGTGATGTACAATAAAAGAGAAGTCATTGAGTTCTACGAGAGCAGTTGGACTAAAATGAATGAAAAGCACACTATAGTTACATTACCTGTTGGTCATTAAGGTCCCCCTGTACTAAGGAGTCAATGAAAACATGTTGACTGAAAGTCCTTCCTTTTCGTTCTTTGATGATTTTCTTTAAAATAGATTCCAGCTGCATAAGGGCTTAGAGAAAAAAAAAAAAAATTTACAGTACAAGCATTTTGGGAGATTCAACTTTTTTTTTTGCTAGAGGGCATGTGGACTCCCTAGAAAGAGACAGACAGAGAAAGAGAAAAGGAGAAAGCACACCTTAAAGGGAGTGATCACACTGCAATCCCTTCTCCATCATGTTTCCCTCTTTCTGGGAATGCATGCACATGAGTTTGGCATGTTTCCCAAGTGGCCAGGTTCTGGGACTCAAACCATCTGATTGGCCATGTGCGATAGCCGTCAATTTTCTAAAAAAATTCTGCACAATGTTACTATGTGTAAAAAAAAAAAAACCGTCAAAGATGATAATCTATAATAAAAAAAGCTAATTTATGTCTAAACTCATCTGTTTTCTTTTTCTCCTTCTTGCTAAATTTAATATATATGTCAAAAAAGGCATAAAACATAGAAGTACAGTTTGAGGGATAATTATAAAGCAAAGGCCCGTATTCATAACCACACAGGTCAAGCAGCAGAACAATGCAGGCAACTCAGTGGCCCCCACACATCTAAGCTTCTGCCCTGGCGTTATCCACCTTCCTTCTAAATTCTGTCCTCTCAACTCCAGCCCCTCTCTCACATCAGGCATCACTCATTCAGGAACAGAACTACATATAAAATAGCCAGTAAATTCGTGAAACCTGAAAGATAAAAATAACTGATACCTGGGGCTGGTAGATGGGATGGTGGTTAAGGGCTCTGGACTCCCACATGGCCAACCGCAGTTCAAATCATGGACTAGCGGCTTGCTTTCTCTCTCTCTCTCTCTCTCTCTCTCTCTCTCTCTCTCACTCTGCCCCTCTTTGGTCAAATTAAGATAAATAAATAAATAAATAAAGTTTAAAAAATTCTTAAAAAAAAACCACCCTGATATCTAATGATCAATAAAATTCTCTAAAGTTCCATTTCAGTCCTCATTATACTTGACCTCCCACATCAATAAGGGCATAATTTACTGTTCAGGACTCCACAGTCTTCTGAATTTCCCATTTCTCTTTCAATTTACTGCCTACTCATTCTTAGTCTCTCTCTCTTTTATTATTCCTTCTCATCACCTGAATTCCTTAATGAACCTCTTCTTCTCTATGTATATTCACTAACGTGGTCATCTCTAGTCTGAAAGATTTAAGCACAATCTATACACTGGACACTTCCAATTCTATATTTCTAAATAGGACCTTTTTACCCTGATGCCAGACTCAGTTTTAAAGAATTATTTTATTTTAATTAATTTACTTATTTATTTTAATTTGACCAGGGAGGGACAGAGAGAGAGAGTGAAAAGGTGAGAAAGCAAGCCGCCAGGTCTGGGACTCAAACCACAGTCACCCAATATGGGAGTCTAGGACTCCTAACCACCATGGCACCTGCCTGCCTCTTTACTGGTTCTTTAAAAAGCTTCTCAGGTGATCTAACAACAACTTCAAAATATCCAGTTCAATATTTGAAGGACATTAAATTTATTATTTAAGAATAGTTTGTTTGGGACCAGCAGTTAGCGTAATGGCTATGTCACTGGACTCCCATGTAATCGACCGCAGTTCAAGTCCTGGACCCGGTGACTTAAACTCATGCCAGGCGCGTGTGCGTGCGTGTCCAAGATCCCGAGAGGAGAATGGAGGAGAAGGGACTGCGGCGTGGCCATCTCCCCTGGGGGGTGATTTCTCGCTTTCTATCTCTCTGTCTCTCTCTGTCTGTCTGGTGAGCACATGCACCCTCTAGCGAAAACCTTTAAAAAAATAAAAATAGTTTAATTTTATCTGTTGTTATTTTAAATTTGCTATAGGGCACGTGTGCTCACCAGCGAGAGACAGAGGAAGAGGGAAGGACAGTGAGAAAGCAAGTCACCAGGTCCAGGACTTAAGTAGGGTGGCCACGTGGGAGTGTATCACCTTAACCACCGCTTGCCTGGGGCACATTAAATTTAACATACCAAACATAATGAATTTTCCTCCCAAACTGGATCTTCCCATATTCTTCCCTATCTTATTTCCTAATAACATCATTTTCTAATGTTTTAAGCCTAAAATCTTAAAGTCTTACTCTTTCTTATACCCCACATTTAATCTCTCAGCCAATGTTGATGATTCTATCTTCAAAATATATAATTATTTGCTTATTCTTTTTGGGGGAAGAGGGTGTTTTGCAAGTTCTACTACCTATCACCTGCTCTGCACATTGTCTCTCACCTGGTTCATTGCAATATCCCCTTAATTAGTATCTCTGTTTCTGTTCTGGGCCCTTAGAGTCAAAACACCAGAGTAATCCTCTTTAAACGTAACTCAGATCATAACTCTGCTCAAAACCGTCAGGTGGCTTCCTATCTCATAGTAATAACCTGGTCAAACGATGGTCTATAAGTCACACAAAATCTCTCTTTCTTTTTAGTCTTATTTAAAAAAAAATTTTATTCATTTCTTCCTATGGTAGCATGTGTGAACACATGAGATAAAGTTCCCAGGCTTCCAGTTCTTCAGGATCTTGGGTACTCATGTTCACACCCAGCATGTTTTCAGGCTAATGTGGGCACCTAAACCCATGGTTGACCATGAGGCTTCCAGAACTGCAGTCCAGGACACTAGGGATTACATCAGTTGGGCCCCCATTCCACTCTTTTTGGCCTGACCTCTTGCTGCTCCTCTTATAATTCATTTCAGTCCAGCCACATAGGCCTCTCTTGTACTTCAGATAAACCAGGAAGAGTCCCACCTCAAGGACTATGTAATTACTTTTCATCTTTTCTTCTGACATCTGGGTATCCACACGATCCGTATGAATTCCTCTATTTTTGCAAGTCTGCTCAAAAGTCACCTCTTCCTGGAGAGGTCTTTCTTAATAATCACTTAAAATCACAACCTCTCCACCTTTGGCACTTTCTAACTCCCTTCCAGTTTTATATTACTCCACAGTATTTGTCATCTTTTAACATACTAATTAATCAACTGTACCGATTTAGATTATTATCTATCTCTTCCCACTACATTGTGGTACCATAAGGGCAAGAAATTTTGTTTAGGTTCCTTAGCACCTAAAATATGCCAAAATAATACTGATCTTCACTAAATATTTACAGAATAGGACGAATATAATAAACATTAGTTATTTAAATATGACATTACTAACACTGTAATGGAGTAGTTCCTGAACTTTGCTACACATTAGAATCACCTGGAAAGTTTTTTAAAGAACCAGTAAAGGGGCAGGCAGGTGCCATGGTGGTTAGGAGTGCTAGACTCCCACATGGCCAACTGTGGCTTGAGTCCCAGACCTGGCGGCTTGCTTTCTCACTTTTTCACTCTCTCTCTCTGTCCCCCCCTGGTCAAAATAAAAAATAAAATTAATTAATTGATTAATTAAAATAATTCTTTTTTTGGGGGGGGGAGAGTTTTTTGTTTTGTTTTGTTTTTGCTATAGGGCGTGTGCGCTCGCCAGACAGACAGAAAGAGACAGAGAGACAAAAAGCAAGAAATCACCCCCCAGGAGGGATGGCCACGCCGCAATCCCTTCTCCTCCATTCTCCTCTCAGGATCTTGGGCACGCACGCACACGTGCCCAGTGTGAGTTTAAGCCACCAGGTCCGGGTCTTGAACCGTGGTCAACTACGTGGGAGTCCAGCAACATAGCCATTACACTAACTACTGGTCCCCCTAGACTATCTATTTTTATTTAGAAACAAAGATTATAACATTAATTTTCACTTTCTATTAATTTAACCAATACTTCTAAAGTACATTTTTTAAATCAAGAAGAACTAATTTAAACATACTTATCGAGATAATCAGAAGGGTAATGAAACCAGGTAACAGAAAAACTGTCAATTAAATTACGTTTTTTTGGGACCAGCAGTTAGTGTAATGGCTATGTCGCTGAACTCCCATGTAGCTGACCGCGGTTCGAGTCCCGGACCCGTTGGCTTAAAACTCAAGCCAGGCATGTGTGCGTGCGTGCCCAAGATTCCGAGAGGAGAATGGAGAAGGGACTGCTGTGTGGCCATCCACCCTGGAGGGTGATTTCTCACTTCTATCTCTCTGTCTCTCTGTCTTTCTGGCAAGCACACATGCCTTAAAGAAAAAACCTCTCCAAAAAAAAATTAGCTTTTTTTGACTTCTGTTAAGACAAAGGAATCACTGGAATAGAAATCTAATGAGGGCAAGAATTTTTGTCTCCTATGCATGGAATAGGAAACACACAGGCAGCTTCAATAAATATTTATAAAAAGAATGAAGGAAGGGCCAGCCCCATAGTGCAGTGGTTAAGCACAATAAATTGAGAGCTGTATCCCACATGGACTGTAGTGCTGGACGCCACATGGCCAACCATGGTTAATATCCCCAGTTCACCCTGAAAACACACCAAATGTACACATGGGTACATAAGGTCCTGAGGAACTGGGGGGCTGGAAGTCTCTCTCTGTCTCTCTCTCATGGATGCATACATGCTCTCATAAAATAAATAAATACTTTTAAAAACAAGAAAGGTTTTAATCAGCGTTATGATCTGAGCTAAGTTTTAAGAAGATCATTCTGGCTGCTGTGATAAACTTTAAGGGCCCAGAGCAGCAGCAGACAAATTAGGGGCCTACTGAAATGAACCAGTCAAGATAGAGAACATGGCAGATCAGGTGATAGGAAGGAGGAATCTCTTCAAAAAAGAGTAAGGAGTATGTAAAGGAGATACTTAGGCCCAGGTGGGAGGATGCTACTGCACAATACTAGACCCACGTGGGAGGCCCCAGGTTCACACCTTGGGTAGACCTATGCTGGTAGTGCCCGTGGTATGCCAATAATCATGGCTGGCTGGAAGATGGAGATGATGGGCTGCATCATAGCAAGACCCTGTCAAGGATACCTGCCGGTGTCTCTCATGAAATAAATAAACTTAAAAAAAAAAAAAAAAGCTGGGCACACATATTCTTGTTGGGCTGAGCCTGCTCCATGGCTCAGTAGTCATGGACTGCTCAAGCAGAGCCAGATCTCACATGGTGACTGTAGTTTGTGTCCTGTACCTGCTGACATGAAACACGATAGGCCTGATGGAAGGAGACTGTGACATGATCACTCCCCATGGAAAGCGCGTGCCTCTCTCTCACACAGGCATTCTAACTTTATGAATAAAGAAAACTTAAAAACAAGTTAACAGTGGATAAACTTACCATCTTCATATTGTTTTTTCCGAGTTGTACTTTTATCAAGGGAACCATCTAGAAAGCCTTTTCCAATCTCGGACCAAACCTGAGAATTGGAAAATATACATATCTATTACCTAGTAGGTAGATTTTCTAAATAACACAGAGCAACATACACTAATGACTAAGGAACTACTTTCTCACCAATAAATCTGATAATTAAGCTCTCCTTTTAATTAGGGTGCATAATCATTTTCTCCATAGTATCTGAGGATAAGATACAAAATATATATTTTTATAATTTTAGTCAAGGCACTTTCAAACTAATTATAACTGTAATTATATTAAAGGTCAACCACATCAATCCAGCCTACTAAAATTTTGTGTGAAGAAATGGGTACTCAGCACACAGCACTTCTTCTAAACAGAGAGGTAAAGTGGCTTTCTTGATATGAACTATCAGTTTTCATGGATTCAAACTAAAGTTGGAAAACAAAAAGTTCCTTATATTTAGAAATGGAGAGTGAAAAAAGGATATGGCAATAGAGTCAACTCTCAATTTTTTTGGAATTATGGCACAAAGGGATACATAAAATTCACAGATATTTACAAATATTTTTTCAAAGAATTATTTTATTTAATTTTATTTATTATTATTACTTTTTAATTTGACCAGAGGGAGACAGAGAGAGAAATAAGAAGCTTGGGGCCAACATGTGGCACGCTGGTTAAGGCACTGGACTCCCACATGAGCAACTGTGGTTCAAGTCCCAGACCCAGCCGCTTGAAAATCATACTGGGCGCATCTGTACACATACCCAAAATCCTAAGAGGAGAATGCAGGAGAAGAGATTGGGCATGGCCATCCCTCCTGAGGAGTGATTTCTCACTTTCCCCTTTCTCTCTCTCTGTCTCTCTTGGTGAGCACACACATTCTCTAGCAAAAACCTAAGAAATAAAGTATCAACACCAGTCCCTTGGCCTAGTAGTTAAGGAAACTGGATCCCACATTGCTGACCTGGCATCAGAGGCTTAAAAAAAATTACTGACAATAATATGCATGATTAAGCCACTATGCAGTATATTCTGGATGGGAAATCACATTTTGTATGCTGTGATGATGTTCAGAGAATGAATGTAAATTAATTAATTAAAAAAGTTTCAGAAAAAAAAAAAAAAAAACATGTTGGGCACGTGTGCATGCATGCCCAAAATCCTGAGAGGAAAATGGGGGAGAAGGGTTTGAGTTGCCTCCATTCCCCCAAAAGTGCTTTCTTACTTTCTCTGTCTCTCTGTCTCTCTCCAGTGAGCAGATGTACCTTGTGACAAATTAAAAAACAAAAACAAAAAAATCTATGTAGGATAGGTATAAGCAGCTAGAAGACACAGGGAACAATAACGGAGGCCTCTATAAAAAGTTTTGGAGCCAGGAGATGGTGTAGCAGCAGTCTCTGACTCCCACATGGGCAACTGTGGTTCGAATCCTGGACCCAAAGACTTGAAACTCACGCCACATGTGTGTGAATATGTGCCCAAGAACTCAGGAGGATAACGGAGAAGGGATTGTAGTGTGGACATCCCCCCTGCAGGGTGATTTCCCACTTTCCCTCTCACTCTGTTTCCGTTTCTGTCTCTCTCTCTCTGGCGAGCGCACACGCCCTAAGGCAAAAACCTCATAGAAAAAAAAAAGATGTCTTGCCAACATGAAAAAAAGTACAGGCATCAATAACTAGGTCAAAAACTGATTCTTCATTAAAATGAGAAAACATTTTATAAATTCCTTAACCAATATATTTTGCCTGAGTATAGAGTGGTGAGTTTACCATGCAAAGAGAAATTCAGAGTCAACTTTCCACTTTTTTTATGCACCTGAATGTTAATGTTCTATAAGAAACACATGCATATATACATAGATATATATGTACATACACACGGATATGTGTATATATATTGGGTAAGTGGGAAAGTCATGACAGACTTTTACATAGAAAAACATAGAAAAATATGTCATGACTTTCCCGATGACCTTATTTATGTTTTAGCAGTCTGACATATATATATATATATATACACACACACACACATATATACATTTACTTTATTTTATTTTTTTTTTATTTTTGAGAGGTTTTTGCTATAGGGCGTGTGCGCTCGCCAGAAAAATAGAGAGACAGAGAGACAGAGACAGAAAGCGAGAAATCGGCGCCCCAGTTCTCCTTTATTCTCCTCTCAGGATCTTGGGCACACACGCACAGGCACCGGTGTGAATTTAAACCACCAGGTCCAGAACTAGAACCACGGTCGACTACATGGGAGTTCAGCGACATAGCCATTATGCCAACTGCTGGTCCTGGATGTGTACATTCTTTACAGAGAGATGGAAAGACAGAGAGAGAGAGAAAGCACTCCCTGATGGGACATGGTCATTCCATTCATTTCTTTATCCCATCAGGATTTGGGGCATACATGCACAGGCACCCAGGATGTCTTTCAAGCTTCCAGGGCTGGGATTTGAACTGTGGCCAGGTATGTGGTATCCAGTTCCCTTAACCAATAGGCTACAGGGCCTGACCAAGCAGTTTTCAGTTTGTTTGTATTTAACGAGAGAAAAAGAAGGGGAGAGAGAGGTACATTTGACAGGGCATCATACTGCTGCAATCCCCCCAGCCTAGGCATACCCAAAATCCCAAGAGGAGAATGGAGGAGAAGAGATTGGGTACGGCCAGCCCCCCTAAGGAGTGATTTTTCACTTTCCCCTTTCCCCCTTTCCATTCTCCTCTTGGGATCTTGGGCATGCATGCACACACACCTGGCATGAGTTTTAAGCCACTGGGTTCGGGAGGTTTTTATACTATAGAATCTTAAGCATTGCCCTTCAGAGGCAAAGGCTGTACTATCTGATAAAAGAGTAATTTAAAATTTGGCCCTGGACTTACTGTGACATGATTCTTCTGAAAGCGAATGACTTCCTGGTCATCCTCAAACGTACTACCCATTACCATCTGAGTAACAGACTTCACAGCAAAACCAAGGATGTGCTGGCTGAGGGGAACATGCTGGGTCTCCGGGTAGGAAAGCCATTTATCTAACAATTCTTCTGAAAGCTGAAAGAGAACAGAAATCACAAAAATTTACCCTTCCTTATTACTAAATCTTAGAAAAATTCATCAAGCAGGTTCATTTCATTAAGTACACAGATCAACTCTGTTAGCAAATCAAGCAATCAGGTATTCACTTGCTCTAGCAGAGTAACACCAGCTACATCTATAACTTAATCCTCCATGGGTCAGGTTAAAGTTTCTCAAAAGGGCTGATTTGTAAAATAAAACAAAACTACCATCACAAAATAAAAACTGAGAATATAAATTAAAAATTAATACATACAAAGAACTTAAACCTAATGTAAATTAAGAGATCAAAATATTAGTATCTAATTAAAAATAGTAAAGGTCAGCCATAGAGTGCCTGTTACCCACCAATACACATATGTAAAAGTCCTGGACACGCACCAGTGATAGAAATGTCTCAGAGTTTCTTTGTCATTCCCCCAGTCACTAAATATTTCCTAAATTTCCGATGGGAAAAAACCTGTAACAAAAAGATCATAAGCTTTGGAGTCAGAAAAAAAAAAGGTTTTAGTTCTGTCTCCGTAAGATATACCGTGACTTACACTAAGGTTCAGAGACCTCAACTGTTAAATTAGGATGATACAGTTGCTATGATAGAGATAATTATACCCATGTCACATAGTATGGTAAAGGTTTTATGAAGGAATATATGAAGTAATATAAACAAAGCTCCTACCATGTTGGGAATTTAAATTTAAGCTCCTTTCCCATATTGACTCCATGAAAGTTTTGTTAAAATTAAATTTTGTGAGAAAGAGAATACTTGAAATGAAAAGTTTTAGCACAATAGAGGTCTACACCCATTTGAAGTAAAACATATGGAATAAGGGCCAGCAGGTGGCATGGTGGTTAATGTACTGGACCTCTCACATGACCAATCACAGTGGAGTTCTGGACCTGGCGGTTTGCTTGCTCACTTTCTCTCTCTCTTTCTCTCTGTCTCTCTCTGGTCAAATTAAAAATATATAAATGAATGAATAAATAAATACAAATAAATCTTTAAATAAAAGACTTAGGAAAAAAAAAAAGAGAAACATATAGAATATAAGACTGGGCCAGCAGGTGGCTTGGTGGTTAAGGGGCTGGACTCCCACATGTCTGATTATGGTTCAAGTGCCAAACCTGGCAACTTGGTGGCTTGCTTTCTCACTTTCCCTCTCTCTCTAGTGAAAGCATGTGCCCTACAGAGAAATAATGGCAATAATAAACAAAAGTAAGTAATTTTTGAAAAAAGAATATAAGATTTATTTTAGAAAATAGAGAAGGGAAGCTTTAATGACTTCAAAGTATCAAGATTAAGGAACTGAGCTGGCTTTATATACATGCGTTCTAAATTTATTCATTCATTTTCTCTATGAGCAAGAAAGACATAGAAAGACAGACAGGTACCACTACAGGGTTATCATGCTGCAGCGCTAGCCAGCCCCAGATTCTGGGCACATACACAACCTGGCATGTTCTGAGAGGTCTCCAGACACAAACTCGGAACCTTCCCAAGTGAATCAGCCTTGCAGAGCACAGCATTACTGTTCACCCCCTGAGCTAGTTAACATACTTTAAAAGAACTCAGATTTGAGTGAAATATGAAGAAAATAGGAAAAAACTATTCAAATAGAACGTAACAACATAGTTTTTAAATTATTTTCATGTTTGTAACCAACAAAATAATTCCATATACTTGAAAAATGTTAAAAATGTATAGCTGTTATTGAAGTCACATAGCTTCCTGTACACTAAAAAGCAGTAAAGTATTTTGGAAACAAACAATAAAACTATAAACTATAAAACTAGAAGAGCCAATACATATTTGACTGGCAGGTAATGGCAGAAATTCCAAATGTACAAGGTAAGCATTAGGTTGGAAAAAAGCTTTCTTATAGAAACAAAACCATTATCAATAGATAGAAGATAACATTAGGTTTCTTTTTCCTAAATATTAAAGTTCATTAGTTCTCAGAAAACATTTTTCTTGGGGCCGGCAGGTGGCGTGGTGGTTAAGGGTGCTGGATTCCCACATGGCTGACCGTGGTTGGACTCCCGGACCTGGTGGCTTGTTTTCTCACTTTCTCTCTCTCTCTCTCATTCTGTTCCTCTCTTATCAAATTAAAATAAATAAAGTTAAATAAATTTTAAAAAAGAAAACATTTTTCTTAATAAACATGATGCTTTTGCCTTAAAAGAATTCCAGAAATAGTACGTTATTTGTAAAAATTTTAGCTGCTTTGGGATTGTGCGCAGAAATGGAAAACCCAACTAACCTTCAGTGTTCATCCTGATATCCCAGACTGCCAGCCCTCGTCTACGTCACTCTATCTACTCCCAAATGTTCAGTTCTACAAGGGGCTTAGAAGCTGTCAGGCCGAACCCCATGTGACAAAGTTATATCTTCACATTATTCACAGCCGTAGGGTGGAGCCAACTGCTTGAATCCATTCCAAGTATCACATACAAATGCCGATCCTTTACATTGATCCTTATGTTTAAAGTAGAATTTTCTTTGGTATAAAATGTGCAGTCCATTCATTTGTTTATCTGTTCATTTAATTTTCACCAGTGGTTACACTGTTGTCTCACCATTAAATATGTATCGTTTCTTCACCAATTCAAAATGCCACCCATCATAGATTGAATTCCCATGTGAATTTGGTATTGTTCTTAAACAATGTCTATTCTAATGAACTACATATGTACCACTATCATAACTTTGAATTTTTATTATATTTTTATATACTTTTCCTCATTAATATTCTATTTCAAAATTGTCCAAGAGAATGACTTCCAGAATGGCAGAATGCAAACCTTGAACCTTATGGATCTTACTTTTCTCTAAATAGTGAAAATATGCACAATACAACTAAAGTCACCATTTCAGAACTTTGGCAGTTAACCAAAATCACAGTAACACACAGATAAACAGATTTATCCACAGTACATACACACTGAAAAGAAAAAACTGTACACAATGGTAGGGTGACTTCCATTTCGTTTTCCTCCCTAGGTCAGTAGCACAGTAGTCACAGGCCGGCAGCACTGCAAACAACAGAGAGACGTGACATCCTTTGGAGTACTGTTAGAAGTGCCATCCCTGGGGCCAGCAGGTGGCATGATGATTAAGCCACTGGACACACTCACATGGCCGACCAGGGTTCACGTCCTGGACCTGGTGGCTTGCTTTCTCACTTTGCCTCTTTCTCTCTCTGCATCTCTCTCTGGTCAAGTTAAAATAAATGAATGAATAAATAAAATTAAAAAGATAATTCTTTAAAAAAAGAAAGTGCCATACCCACGTCACCAAGATGCTCATAGAAATCGGCAGACTAGGAAATCTCAGGACTCTGTTCTACCCTCAAAATGACTTTAATCAGCCAGCAAAATTGTCACAATCAATTTCGGAAGAACTTGGAAGTATAGTAAAACCTTACAATGGAGCTGGCTTCATGGCCTGGTGGTTGGGCAGCCAGATCCCACATGCTCATTTGCAGGACTGGGATCCGGGACCCAGGTGGCTTGAGAAACATGGAGGCACATGCCCAAAATCCCAAGAGGGAGGGAGAGATAAAGGAGAAGGGATTACAGCACAACCATTTCTCATGGGAGTGCTTTTTCTCTCCCTGTCTCTCTCTGGTGAGTACATGCACACTCTAGAAAACAAAATGAAAAGACTAAAATAGGTTAGATTGCTGGGTTGGTAGGTGGCATGGTGGTTAAGGTGCTGGATTCCTACATGGCCCACTGCAGTTCGATTCCCAGACCTGGCGGCTTGCTTTCTCGCTTTTCCTTTCTTTCTCCCTCTGGTCAAATTAAATAATAATAACAAATGGAAATAAATAAACACTTTAAAAATTAGATTGTTAAAAATCTATATACTGGGGGGAACCAGCAGTTAGCGTAATGGCTATGTCGCTGGACTCCCACGTAGTCAACCGCGGTTCGTGTCCCGGACCCGGTGGCTTAAAACTCACGCCGGGCGCGTGGGCGTGCGTGCCCAAGATCCCGAGAGGAGAATGGAGAAGGGATTGCGGTGTGACCATCCCCCCTGTTTCTCGCTTTCTGTCTCTATGTCTCTCTCTGTCTGTCTGGCGAGCACACGCGCCCTACAGTGAAAATCTCTCAAAAAAAAAAAAATCTATATACTGGGAACCAGCAGTTAGCGTAATGGCTATGTCGCTGGACTCCCACGTAGTCGACCGTGGTTCGCATCTAGGACCCGGTGGCTTAAAACTCACGCTGGCGTGTGTGCGTGCGTGCCCAAGATCCCGAGAGGAGAATGGAGAAGGGATTGCGGTGCGGTGTGACCATCCCCCCTGGGAGGTGATTTCTCGCTTTCTGTCTCTATGTCTGTCTGTCTGGTGAGTGCATGCGCCCTATAGCAAAAAAAACTTCTCCAAAAAAAAAAAAATCTATATACTACTCCCAAAAGACAAGCTCAATTATGAAGACAGGCTGAAAGCAAAAGAACAGAAAAAGGCACAGTACTGGGCCAGCACGTGGTGTGGTGACTAAGATGGCCGGATCCCACATGGCTGACTGCACCATTCCAGTCCTGGACTTGATGGCTTGAAAAAAACATGCTGGGCATGTGTACCTTACATATCCAAAATGCCACGAGGACAAGGGACTGTAATATGCTTTCTTATTCCTGTCCCCTCTTCTATGAAAGTGCAAGCACCCTCTGGCAAATTAAAAAAAAAAAAAAAAAAAATAAAAGAG